ACTTCCGTTTTCTCAATTTAATGTAAGTTAATTATTCGTTTTCAAAGTCGCATTGTTCATCGTAATTTTGGATTAACATAAATCTGGTGTCACGGCTTTACTAAATGCTGTCTTTGTTCAGTGACTAAATGCAAGGCCATACTTTCAGTAATTTAATAGGACTGTTTATATAGAATTACTAATATAAATATATATATATATATATATAGTGCATTAAAATTAAATATTTCAGCGCTGGGGTCTATTAGAAAGCTGTTAATGCGATAAATGACCCTAATTGCTAGCGCGTCCTAACCGCAGGTTCAAATTAACCCCGAAATTGGAAGGTATTTAGCATCAAAGCGATTTACGACTTCTGACCGTTTAAGTCGAAAGTATAAAAAGAAATAGTATAGTTTTCCCTCACCAAATTTATAGCTTTGATTCCCGCAAGGAGTTATATCTTTAAAATACTTCATAAAGTGGACAGTTTATAGTGCTTCACCCACTAGAAATTGAAGGAAATCCTTATGCCTGCATTTTTTTTTCTGCAGCTTTCAAAAAACCGAAAATCAGAAAATAACTAAATGAAATCGCGCCGAGAATAGCATCTAATGAGACTTCTCTTCTTCATTCACTCAATGAATTGTAGTCGAACTAATTTGGCCATAATAAAAGGAACTTCGTAATGGATTGAGAAGTCACGTATCTGCACTTTTCGTAAAATTCAATTTTTTTTCCTGAAGACTTGTGAACTTAAAGAAGCAAAAAAGGTGAAGGAAATGCAATAGAGTTAGAGAAATGAATGGAAGTACGAAACGAACCCAGTTATGACGCACTAGAACTGGCATCATTTTATAGAGATATAATGGAGAAACAATAATTTTGGCCATCTTAATGGGATTTTAATTTACTTTGGACTGCAATTATTAATTTAAAGCCCCTCTTAAGGTAGAGTGTTACTTAGAAGTTAAGATGTACTTTCAGTCGGTTATTGATAGAATCAATAACGACTTGCCAGCCATAATTCTATTCCCTTTTTATAGCAAGATTATTCAATTCAACCCTATAAAATAATAAGTGGATTGTTTTAAAAATTACCACAGGAAAATGTCAACCTTTTCTTGTGCTTTTTACTGAATTGAGCATGTAGTTGAGTGTGGAGCCTAATGAAGTGAATAAAACGCGTTGGCAAATGTTTTGAGGTCAAATCTCGGTTTTAAGGCCACTAACACCACCTGCGCATATCTGGAAGTGGTGAATGCAAGAACGCGCTTGAATATAAAACGCGTCTGAAAACAGACGTGAACTTTAATTTAGTTTACCAGAGTGGTCGTCTTTGTTGAACTTTCACAGAGTAGTAAATCAATAATAATAAAGTAGAGCACCACAGTAAAAGAAAAATAATATAAGCTATAGATGTAGGACACTATTAGCTCAGAAGGGAGTATACACATATCGGAGAGGGTGTAAGTTGAAACTGCATTACTAATTATTCTGGCATGTCTATGCATTTTAAATAATAAGTAAGAAAAAATTAGAAATCGATTGACCAACGAGATGAGTAAAAAGAATACTTTCTGATGAAATGAGGCGTTAATTCGTAAGTGAAGTGATCAGTGCTGAACGGAAGCTAAATCCACTGCATTTTTGCGCCTCAATCCATTCAAAATCCATTTTTTATAGCCAATCAAAGTATACTACTCGGAAGATTTGATTTGAATGGGTAGGATCAAGTTTTCGATTACAATGAAAATAATTGGTGGTAGATTTCTCGGACTCTAATTGAGTTAATTTATTTCTAAGTCAGATTTTTTGCGAGATCTATATAGAATCGACCAAAAATATGTTAATACAAGCCAATTTTTTCAATCTTTGAAAGCGATTCCAGGATGTCCCCTGTCTTAAATAAGCCACGGACTCAGAATATTATTTCACTGGCTTAGAGTTTGTTGAGAAAGAAAATTTTGATTATGCCAACATTGAATAATGGTCTGGTTTTGTAAACAAAGCAATTGAAATCGGCAATTTCAAACAATTTTAATCAATTTTTTCTCTGAAGTTAACATTCGTAACTGTTTAGATTGTGCACAGACAGTGAAGAAGTTGTCCTGTTTAGTTCTGAATAAAATTTGAGCAAAATTACTTATAAAAAAAACAATTTTTCAATTTATAAGAGAGCCACTTTTATGAAACCTTGCTAAGAAGGCCCTTCTAGACGTGGAAGTGAATTTTTACGAAAACGCCTCTGATTAACAGACATTTTCATATTCAAATCAATTTATTGAAGCAGAATGATACTACAATTAAGCCATTTTTTGAAATTGCTAAAAATTAAGTGTTTTTGTGAAACCAGCGCTGTGCATTAGGAGATATTCATTTATCTGAAAAATAAATAATTAAATTACTTTGAGCGGTTTGATCTTATCTTCCCCCGCATTTACATGGCAACTGGCCAAGATAGCAAAATAGAAGGAATACACCTTTTACTTAATTTAAATTTTAAAGCCTCATAACCTCGTAGTTGTTGAACAATATTAGTCCTCAAAGGAATATTCACCAAGCTATACTTGAACAATTTAGTCTGCACTACATCAGAGATTCAACTTATGTGGGAATAGTTCTGAAGCTCTCCAGTTGTTGTACACATTATGAAATTTCCAAACCTTTTTAATTAAATTTTTATTATAACTAACTTTGCATATTTTTTTCAGAAAGTAAATTTAAAAGGATTTATTGACATCGAAACCAATGGACAACTACAATCAAATTAATATCAAATACATTATTCAAAGTCAAGATCTCATGGAATGGAAATTTAACTTCAAAGAGACTTTAACTTCTTCAAAGTACCAATGACGGCTTGAATACTTGATCAAAAACGCTTGCTCGCTAAACAATACAGGATTTCATGCATTGCAAATGATGAGAATGGTCTTTCAATTCACGAGCATATATAAACTTGGGCATTTATCCAAATACCTTGGCATGTTTTGAACTATTGCAATACCTTTTTATTATATAAATTGTTGCTGAATATTTGAAGATAATATTATATACAATACATCAATAATTATGTTTCAAGTAAATGGTAATCCCTGTCTGCAAAGAAACCTAGGGCCAAATTCCGAAGCACAAAATGTTGATAAAATTAAATATCATATTTAGTATTAATGTATACTTGGTAATAAACCACAAATTTAGAGGAATCTATTGAAGATTTTTAGAATTCTCAATTTGAATTCCTCTTGTCCTTCTTCTTTAATTGAAATATTTTTCTTTCATAGATAAAAATTATTATGACCAAACGAATGAAATAGACTAAATTTTTTGTAAACGGAGTAATGTGTGTAAAGTAAGCATTATATTTTCTTAATAAAGTTTACAAATCTGTTCAAATTGATTTTGACGGACAGTTTGTGATTTACTTTTAGATACAATTTTGTTTTCTGATAAAAATCGATAGTCTATTGGCATCTACCATTGGTCTTTAATATCACTCAAAGATCTATGCCTGTTTCACTGATCGCTTTATTCAAGGGTGATTTATCATGCTTTGTAAGGCCTGGTGAAAAAATCATGCATATAACCTACTTCCACTAAAACTGAATAAAGTTACTATTAAGTATAAATGCTAAATCAAGTAACAGCGTTATGAAGTCATTATTACAGTCAAATAGGGCAATTTTTTTCCAAAGATCTATTTCGACTACCTGACTAATATTTCTGGCAAAAATGTAACTTATTTAGCTTGTCAATTTGCCCAAATGAATTAGGTGCTTTAAAGCGGAATAATGCTCATGCATTATCCAATTTGCGGTTTGTAAAAGGGAAGGTAAAAAGAGTGGGGGAGAGAGAGATAGAGAATATTTTGTTATTAAAATGACATGAATTTCAAATGGCTTCGTTTGGTTTACGGCTCTTAATTCAAATCACCGGTGGGGAAGGAGAGAAAATGCAGAAATGAAGGTAATTCACAATTCATGCGTAAAAATATGAGTTTCGCGCACCCTCATCAAGCCTTGGACTCATAATCAACCTACTCCAATTCAATTGCTTCTGCAAAATAATTATTGGTCCACTTTTGTAGAGCGTGTGGCTCTTCTGCACCACTTCTGATGTCATGATAAACCTACAACCACCTAGACACCACCAGACGACAGTTCCCTCAGACCAGAGGGAGGGAGAGAGGGAGAGAAGTTTCAGTCAGAAAGCGTTCAATCCACGACATTTATTAATTAAGCATGTATCAAACCCGATTACATCTCTCCGAGACAACTTAAAATAGTTTAATTAAGCCAATTCCTTTTTTCCCCATTTTTGTTTTCCATTCTCTCTCTCTCCTTTACTAAAAGACATCCTCAACAATTAAATGTGCGAATGACGCAATTACCATGACAATTAACTAAAGAAATCTGAATTAAAGCTTTATAGTTAAGAGGAATTCTAGGAAAAGGAAAAGTTGTTAATTTAAATTAAAGTAATTAGCTTTATTACGAAAAATTCCGTCAATTTTTTTACAACAAGCCCTGTTGGAAGAAAGTGTATTGAAATGCTAATTAACTTAAAATCAAAAAAATGGAAGTAAGTTTTAATTTCAATTATTCGCTTTTCACTCTACATTGAACATCAATTTTTTGAGCTAATTTAGTAGCATATTATTTGAGGAAAGCATGAGATCTTTACAATCTGAAAAAAATCAAACAGTGTTTACTAAGGGAGTAAATATTGTTTTATAAATAGAACATAATTTACCTCATATTGATTGTGGATTACGTTGACAATGTCTAATCGAATTCTTGTGGATACCCTTTGATATTTATCAGATGGGATACTGTTTAAATAGATTATTTTTTGGAATACGAATTTGTCTTAAACATATTTAATGAAAATGGTTTATCAAATTAGCTTTAAAACTAAAACAGTGTATCAAATTCATGCAATTTTGTATAATCGAGGTAATACAAAATCTTTCATAATTAAATTAGCCAACATTGCTTTAAGCAAATATACCCAGGGTATTATGCCAAAATTTCCACTTCCCCAATCGAAGCATGAGTTTTATTTAAATCAAAGCCTACCTCCTGTTGTTTATCGAATAGACCATCCTCACTTCCCATCCAAATACCATCTTCACCAGCAAGTCCTGAATGGGTAACATATGCGATCGGGGGGCTTCCAGTTCTATTGTGAGTTTCTTGAGAATGAAGATTGGCTGACGAGAAGAGGGGTAGTGTGCTTGCATGCATCTCACCGAGGGTTCCAGACACAAACCGAGGGGCTCCAAATTCGTCAGTAGGGGTGGTCATCATGGGATTCATTGTGGCATAGACCAAAGTGGCTCCAGTGCCTGCAGTCGTACCAGAGGCCGGCGGTGTCGGTGACCACCGTTCTGCGGAAACAAGAGGTATTGCATGGTACACCTTTCCTCCAGCTTGAGCCAGAGTGTAGGATCCTGGAAGAAGATGAGCATTATTGAGATCCGAGAGCATTCCTGAATTGGAAACTTGCATCATCGTTTGCTTTTTAGCTAAAAAAATTAAGCGAAAATAAAGTTATGCAACATCACTCATTTATTTAATTTTAATTTATGGTGAATTAAGTAATCCACACTTAACAACAGTGTCTAAATTTATAATTACTTTAATTTATTTATACATTAATTTTTTTCCTAAAATAACCCATAATTTTGAATATATATATTAAATATAAACTATGTATATCAAATAAATGTATCATTAGTTATAAATACTAATGTGGGCAATCAATGCCTCTAAAGTTCCCGTGTTGTTTTGGGGTAAATAAACAGAGTTGCCAAGAGCCTAAATTACCGGCTACGACCGGCATCTTTAGACAGACAAAAATATCTTACCAGATAATTAAGGTCCCTCTAATGAAGAACCCACAAGTGTTTGTTTAAAAGAAATACCAATTACTTTAAACATATCTACAGGAAAATTTTCAGCACAGTACCTACATGTTTGAGGCACTTTCGAGTATTTTTTACATTGATTGTTATTCACAATTCACCACTTACAAATTGAAGTAGCATTTTTAGCCCATTTAATATTAATTATCTTACCTACGTTAAATGCAGCGGAAATGTGAGCAAAATATGATGCCATTATGAAAAAGAGTTTGGACTATTTTTTGTCACATTTTTTCCGACATTTGTTATTTTCGGCTGCCTATACACATTGAAAATATGTTTGTTTTGTGCAAAACTTATCGTCTTCAGCAGCATATTAATTGATTTACACAATAAGCTAGTTTGTTATTTTTTCCTCATAATTTTCTAGCTGCTGTTACAGGCGATCAGAAAATTAGCGTAAAATTTGGAAACCGTCTTTAATGCATACGAGACAATGAGGAAATCATTGAACCATAAACAAAGTACGTGGAATTATAGGGCAATTGTACTTTTGTCATAGGAAAATTACTACCATTATGCCAATCTCATCGGTTTACGGGGTTAATAACCATTTTTTTGTAATTCTTCTAGTGGGTACGCGTTTAACTTATTTGTCTGGCCCTGAACACAAGGGGTGTGCGATAGACTTACCTCCACGTGGTGCACCCTGGGCAACGTATACTCATACGGCAAAAAAGTCTACTAACCGGCAGTTAACTTCTCACTTCAAACTACCATCACCCCACTGTATGTCATATTCTACCCCTTCCACAGTACTCATCTATCCTTTTCTCTGCCTTTTGTCTGTCTGTCTGTTTCTGTTACATCTGTGAATCATTATTCTGTCCCCTCTCTCGACTTTTTGTCACTTTGATGTTCCTCCTCCTTTCTGTGAAACCCGAAGTCAACTAAATGACTAATGATAACTATCAAAACGCCTGCCATTTGAAATAAATAATGATTGACACAATCATCGAACACTCGTTTTGTGAATTTACCTTTAACTATCCCCCTGAATCATGGCTTCAGTTACCAGGTTAGACAATAACCGGTCAATCTCTCCCCCCTCCACCACCACCACTACTGCCCCATGTCACTCTTCCTCTTTCAATGACATCGACATAACTCAAACCTCTCCAACACGATTATAATACTAACAACCACCGAGAATGCCAAGTTTAATTTCTTTAAAATGCTTAACATAGGCCTATTATCTAGCCGTTAACAGAATGAAAGGCCATATCATAGCAAGATATACATATAAAAATAATT